AGTTACTTCATAGTTTAATGTTTTTAGTTCATACAATGTATTATACTTATTATGGTTTTCAACACTGAAACATATGCAAGTACCACATGCAAGGAACTAGGTAGTGGAGCCAATGTATTGACAATTTTTCAGACGTTGACTTTCTTGGAGATAATTCTACTGACTCAGATAGTCAGATGAAACCATACAATATTGGAGCGAATTATGAAACTTAAAGGTGAGAATATTGTTGATAGGTTTTTATTTCAAATCTATTTTACAGTGCTAGTAACTAACTACATACCCATCTGTTCACGGGACACATTGTGTAATATTATCAAATTGTGTGCGTGGACATATACTTGTCTATGGAAAGGGCTCAGCCTGTTTACTCAAAATAAATTAATAAATGAATATGTTAGGTATGTGTTATAATCTCAAAATATCCATGACTTATTTTAAGAATATAACAAGTGCTTGCCCAGAAGGTTCTTTTAAAAAAAAAATTTTGCCTTTAAGTTTGATTATAACATTATGTCATATCACTGTAATATATTAAGACTAAAGGTACAAAACTTGATCTACTGTACTCGCATTATTTTCAGCATATTTTTAACAAAGTTTTAATTTTTAGATAATACAATTTTGCCGAACAAGAATCCAATTTTAATAACGCAGAGGGCCACAACATAATATTGATATTGCAAAGAAACACATAACTAGTTTTGAAATCGGTATCTCTTCCCAAGGGAAAGTGCAATTAGATGGATGCATTAAACAGGTGATGATTGAATGTTCCCAGTTGTTTTCAAATACATCGGGAAAAACAAATAGGTAATTAAGGAAAAATTGATTTTGTTTTATGAGTGTGAGAAAAAAAAAATCCCTAGGTATAGATACATGATTTGTCTGCCGAATGTTCCTATTAGCATTTTCTATACACCATACAATTTTACTCTTTTCACCTAGTTATGAAGATAATACATTTAAATTTTTTTGATTTGTTTTGTTTTTAAAATTATTGACAATATAAATTGTATTGCTATGCCAAAGAGTTTTAAAATGTAATACGGGCATCCTATTATAATAGTTTCTATAATATCTGTTCACAAATGTAAGGGATACAAAGCCACAATTTTTCATGAGCATTTAAAGTTCACACTTGGACAAAATTCATCTACAACCTGCAATTTATTTTGTTGTTAAAAATGTATTAAATGTTCAATTGTATGTTTATAGTAAAAATTGATAAAAAATGATCATAGTAATATTAATTATCAAATTGAATATAAATATGTAAATTATTGGTTTACAGGTAGTCAAGCCCGTTCCCATTTGCAACGAGGAAAAAAGAGTATGCAATTACCAAAAAGCTTCAGTGGCTGTTATTAAAATTCTTCAACTATCAACAATGGACATAAGTGATGAACACTTTTAAATTAGGTATATTCTGATAGGTACCTATTTCGTTTAATTTTGTGTACTTATTTTACCTACTTCTCCCCCCCCCCCCCCATCAGAAAGTAATTTTAGTTACTTTATTTAACCAAAAGAAAACTATACCTACACACTGGGGACTTATGTTTGTGAATTAAATCATTTTGTCAATGACTAATTTAAGAAAACTTTATTTTTAAATTTTATAGTAAAAAAGAAAAGTAGGTACCTATTTAAAACCACTATAAACTATACCATCATACTTTTCGTATTCGTTGTGTTGATAGTTTACAATATGTATTTTAAAATTTAGAAATATATGACTAATATAGTAGTGTGTTGTAAATTATTGTTATACCTGCAGGCTGCAGCAGCTATTTGTACATAATAAATAAGAAATTATTACTAAGTACGAAAAAAATAATTCATAATACCTAGTGAAAAGTATAACTGTAGCCATAGAAAACAATTAAAACATTTTGTTTTTCATGTCTATGGACTTAAAACTAATTAATTTCAACTCTTTACCTTAATTTTTTCCCTGATGATTTTTATTTGGGTCAAGGGTCGAACCACTGGAATCGTATATACATATTCAATTTTCGAATAAAAATACACGATTGTATGAAAAAATAGTTTTCAAATTTTCGTGATTTTTACGAATTTTGTCAAAATTCTAACTTCAGACGCTCATGAAAAACTATTATATGACTTGCGTGGAACGTTGTAGGCGTATTACATTCTCAAGTAATTGTACCGAGCGAAAATTTTTTAGAAAATTAAGAAAAAATGAATATTTTGTATGCATATAATGAATACCTCGACATGAATCTAAATATTTTGAAAATGTTATGGTTTTTGATTCCAATATAGACAATCAATGGAATTTGCATGTATTTACAGTAATTTAATTTATAGTTACACCACTTACACGAAATACCGAAACCGATTTTACGTAAAAATTCACGTTTTCCTATATTTTTTTTTCGTTTTTCCCTCCGCTTTTGGAGACTAGGTAGGTACTGTTCATTTCGACATGCCCTATGCACCTACTAGATTCACTTTGCCACCGGAAAAGGTGAAAAGCGAAGCATTATTTCGACTACTTATCGTGTACACAGACCCAAATAATAAATTTTATTACGCAGAACGTACATTTGCTAATTGTTTCAATATAGGTCGATTCACTCTAACTTTTGAACTGACGATGCTAAATGTGATCTGCTGATCGTAAATTTTGCTATATAAGACGGAGACAGTAAAATGGCCGTGTTACGTCTTAAATCGTGGTTCGTGGAGCTGCATCGTTCACGAAATTTCGGACTTCGGTAAAATGTAATATTTTAATGCCCGCCATTCTGTCTTATCACTATGTACCACGAACTATGATAGTAATAATTGTTATCAAATAAATAACAACATGATAATATTATTATTTTTTCGATGTAGACTTAAAATTTGAATCACCGCGAGTCTCGATTATTTGAAATTCGAACAAAAATACAGACTACAGAACTACAGTCGAAGGTACAGAGTACTATTCATACATTTTGGTACAAAATCACCATGGATAAGTGTATTCTTTTTAGTAAAACATCCAATGTATCGCCTCGCCACATTACGTTAATTTTCAATTGTAAGTATTATTTTCTAGTTGTACTGATTATATTTCTTAATACTGTGGAGTCAGTCTAATTTGCTAATTTGTTTACAAATATAGGTAGGTTTCCAAAAAATCAATGAAATAAAAGGAAATAATGGCTACAAATGTTCGAATTATCACGATTTCTACCTGGCATAGAATCTGCAGCGGTAATCATTTCTCAATTATTAGTGATTGTAAACAATGCCCAGTAAATTAGTAAATATGGTCAGAGGCTATCTCAAAACATAATCCAAACCACTTGTCTGGGATAGACAAGTAAAATAAATGTTAGTACTTTACAGCAACATTGGTACTACTCTGAGCACGACTAGTAAATCGCATCTAAGAGGTAAAATCATTCACACATAATCCATGAATTTGGTACCTATTTATGTATTTTTTTTTACAACTTGACATTTTCAGAAAATGATGTTTCTCCAACGACGAGTTAGAAGAAAATTAACAGACCAATAAATGATTTGGAGGCCGTACAGTTGATGATTATTTTAATTCGCCCAGAAAAGCCTTAGATACTCAATAATGTCAAATTCACACACACATGTGTAAGTATATCACACAAGTATCCAATTTTAAATGTTTGCCAAAACCAAAAGTTAGTAGTTACCTACTTAATAGTTTATTGTTTTTAGTTCATACAATGGATTATACTTATTATGGTTTTCAAAACTGAAATATATGCAAGTACCACATGCAAGGAACTAGGTAGTGGAGCCAATGTATTGACAATTTTCAGACGTTGACTTTCTTGGAGATAATTCTACCGACTCAGATGAAACCATACAATATTGGAGCGAATTTTGAAACTTAAAGGTGAGAATATTGTTGATAGGTTTTTATTTCAAATCTATTTTACAGTGGTAGTAACTAACTACATACCCATCTGTTCACGGGACACATTGTGTAATATTATCAAATTGTGTGAGTGGACATATATTTGTCTATGGAAAGGGCTCAGCCCGTTTACTCAAAATAAATTAATAAATGAATATGTTAGGTATATGTTATAATCTCAAAATATCTATGACTTATTTTAAGAATATAACAAGTGCTTGCCCATAAAGTTATTTAGAAAAAAAATTGTTGCCTTTAAGTTTGATTATAACATTATGTCATATCATTGTAATATATTAAGACTAAAGGTACAAAACTCGATCTACTGTACTCGCATTATTTTCAACATATTTTTAACAAAGTTTTAATTTTTAGATAATACAATTTTGCTGAACAAGAATCCAATTTTAATAACGCAGAGGGCCACAACATAATATTGAAATTGCAAAGAAACGCATAACTAGTTTTGGCCTATTCGAGCTCCCTTATATATGAAGTTCCCTGTGCCTCTTGCCTATAGATACTGTATCTTGGCTCTCACAGATGTGGTTTGTGTGGTTATTATTCCAGGCCACGCATTTACGATTGATTGTATTACTAAAATATGATTATTATTAAAATAATAATTTTACTCTTTTATATTTGAATATCTTCGTGTTCAGTGTTTCTGTAAAATATTATATACGCCTATTTTTGAACCCTTCGTCCTGAGATATTCAGTGGTTTTGTCTTCTTATATTAAACAGAAGGAAACCTAACCACTTCCTTTTTATTATCTGTTTAACTAACCTAACCGGTCTATAGTATATTATGCTAACTATGCACCCGTGAAATTGGTTTTATTGTCACGTAGTAACTTGCTTACTACATCTCCCCCTTTAAAAGTTGATTTTTATCGTCTAAAACGAGAAAAATTAACTCAATTATCCTTCCATTAGTTCAAGCACTTTCCTATGGTTACAAGTTTTACATACATCAATTATTACTAACAAAATCAAAAAAAATCAAACGAGAATAATTTGCCCTTTGGTTTTTAGTTACAGAATTTGATTCTTGGAAACGAGAAAAGGAACAACGGACATCAACAATGTATATACTTGATAGAGCTGCATCAGAATTAAGTGATGGAAATACAAGGCAATTTTACTATAGCAATCGCTCTTACAGTTACCGAAAACAAGGTAACAATGTTAGAGAAATCAAATCTATGGGTAGTAATAAAACTGAACGAGCCTGTCCATCGTTGCTAAAAGTTACTATTTCTAAATTTGATGGAAAAGTGTCCACATCATTTTGGAAAACTCACTGTGGGCATGAACTAGAAATTGGTCGAATTCGGTTGGATGATGAGACAAGAACAATTATTGCCGGTAAGTGCTACTTTTTATTTTAAGTATTAATCAACAATGAGTTAAATATAATATTCGGGACCATTTGATACCATTTAATTCAATTATTATTTTAATTGATTCTACCTGCATACTTTTAATCAGTCTTTGGTGTTTTATATTTAATTTTATAGGTATGGCTATGTTATTTTTTAAACTCTGACTTTGAAGATAACATAAATACCCAAAAATAGTGTAATATTTATTTAATATTTTATTATAAAATAATATAAATGTACTTAGAAAAACTAAAGGAGGGAGTTACTTTTAATTGTGTGTTAGATGCTATTCGTGAGACTGAAATATCTCCAGATACTTTTAATCGTTCATGCCTCTTGGAACGTCAAGATTCATATAATATAGCACGTGATTTTAACATAGATTATGCAACGAAACGAGATTCAAATGATAGTATTAGTGTAAAACTATGGGTCACTGAAATTAAATTATTATGTTTGCAGTACTATACTATATTTCTAGTAACCTAGAGAGGGGAAGTTCTTTTTAAGTAAAATTCAATAAACCTTTGGACTAACACTTAAGTATTTTATTTTGTTCATAATTTTATTATATTTGAATATTGTTACTTATAAGACATGCATAACAATAACAAGAAAAGTATGGCTAAAACACTATAAAAAAAAAATAAAAATAAAAATAACAGTTATTGGGATGGCTTATAACATAGAAAATTCAATGTTTATATGAACAAATAAAGGAATAAAATAATGTTATAATGTAATGTAATTTTACTTAATAGTTTGTAATAAAAATAATTTCCTTTAAATAAAAACCTAAAATCACAGTGTCAAAAATATAAATTAAAAAAATTTAGTCATTGTATGAGTGGTCAAATGTATTGTGAATATTAATGCTCTCTCTATTTTGACTTTCAAGCCCTGCCATAATGGTATTAACTTCATTTATTGAAGGTTTTTGAATATTATTTTTGGTTGTTGCTTTTTTTTTGGTAGAGTAAAACCTAACTTGTGGCTCAATTTTCTTCTGAATGTTAATGTTTTCAACTGGTTGAAGGTCACTTTCTTTTCCTTCGTTCATAAGAGGTATAACTTTGGCAAGCTGCTTTTTTATTAATTCTTTTTGCGAATCACTATATGAACAAGTAGTACTTAAACCCAAAATAAGCTTTGCTTGACTTGTTATGTCCTCATTATTGTCAGGTATGGCTTTAAATTGAACAAATGTTTGGGCCATTTTAATTGCATTTTCTTGTTCGGCAAGATTTGTTTCCACATTGTTTTCTTTATCATCGAAAGAATTGAAAATTAATCTGGCACAAGCATGAATATGTTTGCAAATATTCAGTTTTATTAAATTATCCATACAAGAACAATGGAAAGTATGTACACAAATATTACACTTAATACACTTCAAGCATGATGGATGATTGCATGTTTCACCGACCTTAACAAGATGGTGTTGTAAGGAAGGGTTCGATTGTGATTGTATTAAATATCCTTCTTCATTTTTTAAAATTTGAATTTGGTCTAATTTGAAGGCCATGCTAATTGTATGACTCTGACGGATTTTTTGCACTTTTTCACAAGGGACATTTTTATATAGTTTTATCAAGCGTTGAAAAATACTGTCTCTGGTAAATTTCATAACGGCATTAATAGTTTTGTCCAGACGCTTAACTTTCTTGCCTTCTAAATAAATGTGCTTAAGTGTTTTATGGAAAGACTCTAAATACATATTTGTGTTAATACTAAGGCGTAAACGGTAACAATAAGCCCAACTCTCGGGTCGATTTGAATAATGTCGTTTAAAGTATTCCCCAAATAATTTAGTATCATTATCATTTAATAAATCCTCTAAAACTTGTACATGATAAGCTTGAAAATCCTCCACAGATGTCTGTTGCAATAATACTCGTAGAGTTTTATATAAAATTGCCTTTTTTTCTGTGACTCCGCTTATCTTGTTCAAATTTTGACGACAATTTCTATCAATATGCCACGTACACAAAAGTTTATGTGTAACAGCACCCATAACACTAGACCAAGCATTATAAAATGCAGGAGCATCATCTGACATGAACACTTTTGATTGAATCTGACCCACCTTAGACTTAACAAAATTAAAAAAATTTTCTAAAAATAAGTTCATCTGATCGGTTTGAGAAGCAAAATGCAACAGGACATCCTGACCCAAATTCATCCATAGTTAATAAAGTGTACAGTTGGATATCATAAGCATTTGTTCCGTGGGTACCATCTATGCATATTTTTTCTGAACCAAATTTAATAATTTGTTGAGCTTGGAAATTTGTCATCAAGACTAGAGCAAAGTCAGCTTTGTCTAAATAAGAGTCTGATTCATTTTGATTTTTGTAATATAATACAGGACATTCAGCTTCATGACTTTTCATTTCAGTGACCCATAGTTTTACACTAATACTATCATTTGAATCTCGTTTTGTTGCATAATCTATGTTAAAATCACGTGCTATATTATATGAATCTTGACGTTCCAAGAGGCATGAACGATTAAAAGTATCTGGAGATATTTCAGTCTCACGAATAGCATCTAACACACGATTAAAAGTAACTCCCTCCTTTAGTTTTTCTAAGTACATTTATATTATTTTATAATAAAATATTAAATAAATATTACACTATTTTTGGGTATTTATGTTATCTTCAAAGTCAGAGTTTAAAAAATAACATAGCCATACCTATAAAATTAAATATAAAACACCAAAGACTGATTAAAAGTATGCAGGTAGAATCAATTAAAATAATAATTGAATTAAATGGTATCAAATGGTCCCGAATATTAAATTTAACTCATTGTTGATTAATACTTAAAATAAAAAGTAGCACTTACCAGCAATAATTGTTCTTGTCTCATCATCCAACCGAATTCGACCAATTTCTAGTTCATGCCCACAGTGAGTTTTCCAAAATGATGTGGACACTTTTCCATCAAATTTAGAAATAGTAACTTTTAGCAACGATGGACAGGCTCGTTCAGTTTTATTACTACCCATAGATTTGATTTCTCTAACATTGTTACCTTGTTTTCGGTAACTGTAAGAGTGATTGCTATAGTAAAATTGCCTTGTATTTCCATCACTTAATTCTGATGCAGCTCTATCAAGTATATACATTGTTGATGTCCGTTGTTCCATTTCTCGTTTCCAAGAATCAAATTCTGTAACTAAAAACCAAAGGGCAAATTATTCTCGTTTGATTTTTTTTGATTTTGTTAGTATCAATTTTATTATGGAATTTTTTGATAGGTACAGTTAATGTTTTAGGGGTGGAAAAACTTTTTTGACATATTTCACATTACAGATCTTTCACGGTAGTACATCTGTGTTGTGAAATTTCAGACAATGTACGTACAGCAATTTACGCTGAAAAAATGTGATGAAAAACTCTGCTGTTAAAATTGTCTCTTGTAATTTAAGACCGTACTTCTCTCTCTCTCTCTCTCTCTCTCTCTCTCTCTCTCTCTTGCTATAGATGGGTATAGAGCCTATATACTATAGACTACTGAACAGGTTTGTGTGGAGGCACACAAGCTCACAATTTACAATAATATGCATTATATTAATATAAGTATTTAAAATATACGTCTTAATTATACACATTTATATTAATACAGTAGGTTTCCGTATTCAGTGTAGTACGATTGTAGACTTTAAAAGAAACATACATATTGTCCATCACTTCATAGTACAAAACAATAGGGCTGTGGTTGACAGGCATCATTGTTGATTAAAAAACTTATAGTCTATTGATATAATATATTCTCGTGTTCAACTTAAGAAATAAAATTATCATGTAAATGAATATATTTAATTTATATTATATATAAATTGTAATTCTATTAACCGTAGTCAGTTCAGACACAGCTACAGACTAATATTGTTATATTATTTAATATTACAAATTAGCAGCTAATACTGCAACTCTCTGTAAATCTTTTATATAAAAATCTCGTGTCACAGTGTTTGTCCGGAATGAACTCCGAAACTACTGGAACGATCTTGATGAAATTTTTTACACCGTCTGTAATTTGGTCCAACTTAAAAGATAGGATAGTTTTTATCTCGATTAAGGCCCTCATTATTTTTGCATTGAAATAATTGTGAAAAAGAAAGTTATAGAATTTTCTAGAAAGATCCACAATGTTTAAAATAGGGAGTGATGTCGTATAAAATGTTCCCTAAAGCTAAGTTCTAGAAATGTCAACCTTCAAAGGTATAAAATGTACATCATTTATAAAATTATATTTGTTTATGTTATAAAATAAAGAACTTTGTAATTCACTCATTCATTGCAGACTATGTTCTATCCTTAATCCTGTGGGTTATTATTAGTGACATTGTATGAATATTAATTTGACATACTAAATAGTTTACTATACGCTATGATCTCCAAAATCACTAATAAACTGCAAATAAAAAAAATTAAAAATATTTTCTCATACATAATAACAATAATACACAGCTTATGAAAATGCCAAAAAACAAACTAATACGCGAGCAACGCCGTGTCTGGACAGCTAGTTATATTATTTTAATAGGTACACCAAATTTTATTATTATCACCTATAAGTTAAAAGATTAAAGCCAACCAAGTACCAACATTGTATATACAAAAAGTTATTTAAGCATACATCATAATCTGCTCCTAGTCCATTACCTAAGTCAAAACCTATTTTCACTCATCTAATGTAGACTTAAGCATTTGACCCAAACATTAATGCCAAATAAAAATAATTAATAATTTCCCAGGTAACGGCATCAAGTCCTACCAAAACTGTTAAATACACAGCGTTCATATTGTATTAACTAGACTAAATATTATGCATTTTATTTATTGACATTAGCAGTACTTAACAAATTTAAATTCTAAAAAAGGTGGGTAAGTGGATGTCGCTCTGCTGTACTGTAGGTTACAAGTGGGTCATGGTATAATTGATGGTATTAAATTTGAATTCAATGATATAATATCATTGTATAAGAAAAACG